GATAACATGATTTCATGTACAGAAAGAAATATTTATATGTTGGATAATTTCCGGATTTCTCAAGGGTTGATTCAGATCTTTTTCCACACTTCAGTACATCTCTGCATTGATGTATTTGCTATACTTATATAGCCTATTTTCTTACTGGGTTTTATTCTCCTTTTTAAGAGGCAGGGTTTACCCGTTTCTTTCAGATTTTTTTTTTCTGAAAGTTTCCTGATGTTTAGAAAATGGCTTCAAACATTAGCTGTAGCAGGCTGCCTTCTAAGAAACTATTTATTTCTAAATACAAACATCCTGGAATGGAACTTGACAGAGGAGACACATTTGAGAACTGATTCCAAGATAAGTACTTTGGAGAACTTTACATATATATATATATATGTTTTCTGAGGTTTTCGCGGGTGTTTGTATGTAGGTCTTTGGTTGTTCGGGTTTTCTCCCGCGTAAAATTGGAAGTGTCTTGGCGACGAAGCTGAAAGCACCAGCCTGAAGATGACGAATGGGACTTCGTCGAAACGTCGCCAAGACACAAGACACTTCCAATTTTACGCGGGAGAAAACCCGAACAACCAAAGACCTACATATATATATATATATATATATAGTCATTTTCTATATGACATTTTTATTATTTTATTTTATTTTATATCCCACCTTTACTATTTTTTACAAATAACTCCAGGCAGTAAAAATATCCATCACACCTTCCTCCTCCCATTTCCCCCACAACATCCATCCTGTGAGGTGAGATGGGCTGAGAGAACACAACTGGCCCAAAGTCACCCAGCCAGCTTTCATGGCTAAGGCAGGACTTCATTCCCACCCTTTCATTGTCAAACAATGTTCATGTTGTCTTTTGTTTATTATTTGCTGCCATCCTCTCTTTTATTTTGAAATCAGTTTATTTTCAGGCAAATAACATAAGGAATGGCAATTTTAGGCAAAAATAAAAGTTTTAAGAGTAAAGTCTTGTTCATTCCAGATGATTAGAATATTTCCATTGTATTGACCCTAGATTATGATCCATATTGTGTAAAGTTCCATTTTTGTTCATATATTCAGTATTACTTCCATTATTATACACAAAGCGTATCACATCATGCTTCATCCTTTATTCATTTGAAATTTGTCATGCTATAACAATACCGTAGGTAGATGTCTTGGGATAACTAATACTTTTACAATAGTTCTGTTTTACAATAATTCTATCAGACCATTAGAATCATTTTCAAACTAATCCTCAATTTATCCTCAACATCACCAGTTTCAGTATCCAATTCTTTTCCCCAATCTCTCATCCCATTGATTTACTGGCTGTTTAAAGTATCTGGGCATTCATTTGGAATGGTTTGCTTTAAAATGATTTATTCAATTTATTAAGTGTGCAACAAAAATGATAGTGTGGAACATTTTCACTTCAATGTCTCTGTCGGAACTGTTGAGGAGCCAGAAGGCAGGTGAGGTGAAAATTCCTTGCAAATTTGCTTTGGAAAATTCCACTGGGAAATTGGATTTAGTGTATTTGCTAATGAACTACAGCTGAATTCACCTACGGACACATCGTTGATGGCCCATAACCCACAAGATGTCACGGTCTTCATCAAAATCGATGGACGAAGAACAACAGCTGAATTGGAATCAATTGGCCCAGATGCTAACAGTAATAACATTGTGAGATTGCAGGGCATGTAGATGATCCAAGACCAGCAAAACCATTGAAGGTGTTAAAAGCATGTAATCGACCACAAACTACTAAATTCTCAACAGCCCTCCAATCTGTCACTATTATTTGAGACAGTATTCAATGTAAAACTAAACAGCTATGTTTTCTTTGAATCTTCTCTGCACAGATTAATTTTAAAATACTGCATTTTTTTGTACATAGAGAAATATTGGAAGGTTAGGAAAAACATTAAGATAAATGTTCCACATAGTAATTTTTTTTCTTAAATTGTTCCACATCACATTTTTCTTATATTTACAGACAAGAGTATTTTCTTAAATTCTTCCACAGAAAGTTTGCTTACCCCCCCCCAAAAAAAGAACACTTCAACATCCTTTGAGAGATGAATCATTTAGAATTCATCAAACAAAATCCAAATATATCATGTAAGCAAAAGAACTTGAAAAAGCTGGTGGATGATTTGAAAATTGTTGTTCTGTGTTAAGGGAATTACTAAACAACTCATCTTAAATATAACTTATACTAATTTCTTTAGGAACATCACTCCAGTCAGATCAAGTCAAGTTTACCATCTGTTGTTCTGTTCGAAAATTATATTATACAGCTTCCTTTGCCTGGTTTGCACACAAGCTGTTCTTGTCACTTTGCTAAGCCTATTGTGATGATTCATCTTAATATTCAATCAGACATTTAAAAAGAGTGACAAAAGTCCACATATGGATAACAAGCTGTTTCTTCAGTAAATATTTTGCTGTTTATTAAATGCATTCTTATGGCATACAGCTGCTACAATTGTATTACAAAACAATGCAAACATAGATGAAATAGCTACTTCAAAATCCTCACCTCTTTCATTAAGCACCTGTTCATATTTAATGTAGTAAACTAATCATTATTAACATATCTATCTGGTAGTTATCAGGGTGATCAGATAATGAAACAATATTTCCCCTTTTCAAAACTTTCTATTTTTTTTTAAGAATATGCATGCCTCTCTAATTATCTATCAGGTACATATTTTTTTTAAATAATGCCAGTACAGGTTTTTGTAACAGATTGGGATGGTTATTTTAATAATGTTTATTCTTTTATTAAGACTTAGTCTTCCCATAAACAAAAGTTGACAATGAATTTTGTCCCTTGTCTGTTACACTGTAATCCCATTAGTTTTTTTTTACTGGTGATAACCAAAAAGGGTGATGGTGATTTTCCTCTGATTGTTATTCAAATAAAAAAAATTGATAGTACCTGAAATATGGAAATAGCCTCTTCAGAAGGATTAGGGTGTTCCTAACAGGAGTTCCATGTGACAACTTAATCCAAAGCTACTTCATTTACGTCGCTGTCTTTCAAACGTAGTAGTTTTAAGTTGTGTGGACTTCAACTCCCCAAATTCCTCAGGCACTGGGGCTGCTTGGAGAATTCTGAGAGTTGAAGTTCATACATCTTAAATTTCCCAAGTTTGAAAGATACTAATTTCTGAGAGAAAAAATTCAATTGACAGATAATGTGGCCTTTGTATTTTGGACAAATGGCAGTAATTATTCTAGGTTTTGGTCTGAAATGTGGGTGGAAGGCAGGGAAGGAAAACAAAATTCTATCTTCTGCTTAGCTGGAGAAAATCAGCAGGACTAAAGATGACTTAACTGTACAGTGTTTCTCAGCCTTGACAAGTTTAAGATGTGTGGACTTCAATTCCCAGAATACCTTAGCCCACCATGCTGGCTGGGGAATTCTGGAAGTTGAAGTCACATGTCTTAAAGTTGCTAAGGTTGAGAAACATCAACTTAACAGGTCTGCTTTGTAGCTCCCCTCTCCTCTTCAAAATGAATTAACAAAGGAACTAAGAAATTACTTTTCAAATTCTACTGCTATTCTGACATATTAGATTATTCTAAACCGAAATCAGTTATAGAGGCATATCTGAAAAATATTTTATATCAGGACCTCTCATAGGAATTAGTGGTAGTTTGGTCTGGTGGTTTAATTACCAGGCTAAAAATCAGGAGAGTGTGAGTTCAAGTCCTGCCTTAACTATGAAAACCTTGGACCAGTTGCTTTCTCTTAGCTTAACTCACTTTTCAGAGTTGTTGTTGTGGGGGAAAAAAAGGTGGAAGGAGTTGTTCACTGCCTTGAGTTATATATAAAAATAATAAAGTCAGGCTAAAGAAAATATAAAAAACTAAAACAAGACTTTGCCAACCCAGAAAGGTTGAATGTTTATTCATTGTTTAAATTAACATACACTTCCAAGAGTTTCCATATCCAGGTTGCAATACAATGTCCAGTGGTGGTCCTAAGAATGTGTGTGCATTTCTCCAATAAAAGAATATCTAATGCAAGTGTTTAGTATTAGAAAAATGGAAGCAAGTTCCATCTTGTCATTTCTGTAACTATAATTGCTCTGTAATTTAAGCATGTTTTAAAACCACTACAGCTCACATTCAAAATAATTTCTCTTTCAAATCACAGTTAGGAAGAGAATTTTCTTCTTTTCTGTTGTATTAAGAACATGCAAGCAGTTATAAACCACACAATAGCAAAAGGGATAGAGGAAGAAATAAATATTAGTTGTGGATTTCAGAAATGAAGGTAAGATATACCCCTTACCAACCTTTATTGTCATACACAGCTGGAAACATCTGCAAATAGATCCCACCAATTTCACTGATGCTTACTGTTAAGTAAATGTATGGCAGATAGCACTGCAGATCTCTTATATCCAGCAACCAACCACAAACTGAGTTTAAAAAATGCATTTTTTTCTCCCCTACTTGCTCCTGTAAAGCTTAAGAATCACAGTATTCTAGAAAAACAGCTGCCATACTTTACCTAAGGTAAAAAGAAATGTGTTCAACAACTTAGTCATACTACTAGATTTTTTAAATAAAACCTGAACAAAATGTTTCTTCCTTAATATCATACACAATATATTTTTTTCACCATCACATTTCAAAACCAGATTTTCTGTGTAGCGTAGAAAGGTAACTATTATTCAAAACTATACATTTGTATTTTTTTTTAAAGGGATCAATCTAACTGCTTGCTGCTTTGGATATGGCCTGATAAATATTCTATCACACCATCTCTTTCTCTTGTATTTTATATAAAAGGATGGATAGAGATGGATAGAGAGAGAGAGAGAGTCAGATAAATTTTTTGTTCAAATCAATACAAATTTTATTTAATTTTAAAGAACAACCATTCTTTCCAAGTGAGAAATAACTGCAGTGGCCAATTCTTTTTTTTTCTTTTTCACATGGAAATATAAATATTATATTAAATAAATATTTTATATTTCTAAACATCTTACCCCACACTGGGATCCACAGCAACTGCCATGGGATTATGAAGATCAAGATCAATCAGGGTCACACACACTGTTCCATTAAAGTTGCATACAAAGATTGTATGTATAGTATGATCCACAAAATACAAGTTGCCCGTAAGCCAGTCAATTGCCATATGCTGAATATCTGTCATAGTGAAAAGAATATTAAATTAGTTATTACTTCAACATAACAAATCATTGAAATAATACTAGCTGAACAGTATTATACATCTGAAAGAGTTGGTGCTATTAATTCTATGAGGATTACATAATCTGCATAATAAACTTTTTAAATAAAATCTAGTCAAACTGAAATGGACTTTTCTTTTTTAAAAAATGCTGTTATGTTCTGTGGAATATTTGGTGCTCTCAGAGCTTGGTTGTTTGCATGTTGATGTTTCATTACTCAACCCACATGTTTATATGTAGAAATATGCTACATATGTAGTACATGTAATAGCTTGCCCTGTCAGTTTTGATCGCATGTGGTTTCTTGCCGTTCAGTTCATTTCTTCCAAGTTGGGGAAATTCAGATTAAAGTATCCTACTGTAATAGAGGTAATAATATTACACTTTAAAGGATGCAATGTTTCATAGTAATACTATTAGTAATTATGATTTTCACCAAATATATTCACAGAACTATATGAGTCTGATCATAAAAGTGAATTATGCTGTAAGAAATAAGAATCACAAAAACTTGTGATAAATTCAAAGCTACTATGCTTGCATAGTTTATTTTGTTTTGGTAAAATTATACATTTAAAATATAAAAAAGCACTGTGACCTTCTCAAGCTTAAAGTACAGTAAAAAAACCCAAAAAACAAAATTAGGAAAAAAAAATTCTAATAAAATTCAGCTGTTGCCGCTTATCATTAAGAGTTAATATTTAAACAAGGATTAATTTATTACAAAGGAGTCATAGACCAACAAAAACACGTATAATTCCCCTCATGGTTTACTTCAGCATGGTCAGCTAAAAAATAGAAGCAAGTGATGGGGAAAAGAAACTTCCCAAATCCTTGAGGAATTACAATTATGAATAATCAATGCATATGGATTATATTTTAGCAAGGCCTGCTAAGACTTTGGTCTAACAACCAACTGAAAAAACCACAAGTCATGGGTCAGGACATGGATTCACCTCCCTGTATTACAATCTCTGCATAAGAACTGGAGGTTATCCATGCCTTTGTGTACCTCGGCTCAACTATCTCCGACACTCTCTCTTTAGATACTGAGCTGAATAGACGTATTGTTAAAGCGGCCACCACATTTTCCAGACTTACAAAGAGAGTATGGCTTAATAAGAAGTTGACAGAACATACAAAGATCCAGGTCTATAGAGCCTGCCTCTTGAGCACACTCTTGTATTGCAGTGAGTCTTGGACCTTTTACGTATGGCAGGAGAGAAAGCTGAACACCTTTCATATGCGCTGTCTCCGACGTATTCTCGGCATCACCTGGCATGACAAAGTCCCAAATAGTGCAGTCCTGGAATGTGCTGAAATTTCTAGCGTGTATACATTATTGAAACAGCGATGTCTATGCTGGCTTGGGCATGTCGTGAGAATGGATGATGGTCGGATTCTGAAAGATTTCCTATATGGAGAACTAGTGCAGAGAAAGCACCCCAGAGGGAGACCTGAGCTGCGATATAAGGATATCTGCAAGAGGGATCTGAAGGCCGTGGGAATGGACATTAACAGTTGGGAATCCTTGACCTCTGATCGTTCAGCCTGGAGGCTAAAGACACAGCATGGCCTTCTCCAATTCGAAGAGATACTTGTGTGGCAGGCTGAGGCAGAGGCAGTCCCCGAACCAGTGAAATCTGGGGACTGGACAGGGGACAGATTGTATCTGCCCTCAGTGTGGAAGGGACTGCCACTCTCGAATTGGCCTTTTTAGCCACACCAGATGCTGTTTTAGAACCTCTTTCCAGAGCACAATACCATAGTCTCTCGAGACTGAAGGATGCCAATGATGATGAATGCATGTGGAGCATTATGGATTGACAGCATAAGAAAGTTTCTGCCCATAAATAAGATCTTCACACAGCATGGAAAGTATGCTGTGTTAAACTATGGATTTTACTGCATGAATAGTTTAAAGAAAAACATGAAGGAAAATTCACTCATTGACTACCAATAATTCCATAAGTTTATTACATTGATAGTTACAGGAAACATCTATTTAGGCAAAAGATAAACTGAACCACCTTTTATTCAGAGAAAGAGACATAAGATAAGTCAATCTTACAACGTGACTGGGAATCTACTTTGACTTTCCTTTTCTTAATCCTTTCTATATTGCTGTTTTCTTTATTATTTGTTTATTAAATTTATATGCCACCTATCTCATCATCAGGCAAATCTAGGCAACTCATAACAAAGTAAAAACAACAATATAAAAATTATAATAATAGATATTGAAGGGATTTTATTGTGCTTATGATTTTAGTATGTTTAAGTTAGCATTTAATTTAGTATGTTTAATTTAGTATGTTTAAGTTAGCATTTAATTAATGTCAATTAGCATTTATTTTATATACAGTAACCATTTTATATTGCTACTTACAGTGTTATCATGTAATTATTGTTTTGTTATTTTATAATCATTGTTTTGTAGTTAATTGCTTGATCAGATGCTTTATATACATATTGGAAAAGTAAGGGCTTCATGCTTTAGGCATAGGTGATTGCTTATATGAAAAGAGCACAGTAAGGGGAGGGGGAAAGGAGTTACGGATGGAGCCTGGGTTGCTGTGTATGAGTCACCATCTAGGAATTATTTTTTTGTGCCATCTTATGCCTAGTACCAAGATCTTTTTGTTCTGAAAAGGTATAAAAGGTGGAAGACATCTTTTCTGGTGGTTGCCTTCATCTCTCTACCAGCCACGAAGAGAGATGGGGGTCACCCAACTCTATTTTGATCAAAATAAAAGTTGTTTGCTTGCTGAAACCTCGGCTCAGGAGGTTCTTTGGCTCTTTTAAATTCCTGAGTAATTGTGAGGCTAACTGGGAAACCTTACAATATTAACATTAAAATTAATAAAGATGGCTAAAGAAGGAAGCAAAATTCAAATGGGATGGACGTAGAATCTTCTCTCATTGCCTACAGTATGGAATGCCTCTATCGGCCCCAGGCCAATCGCCAGAGACAGGTTTTAAGACCCTGTCAGAAGACCAAAAGGATTGGGGCAGATCTCATCGCAAAGGGCCTGATGATTCAGAAGGTGGGAGCCAGGGATGAAAAGGTTCTTCTCCTGGACCCTGCTAGATGGAATTCGTTGACCAGCAGGTTCCACAGTATGCCATTTCTGTCAGTATGAGTGGGGAAAATGTATTGGGGTGAGACTGTATATTGTATTTCAACTATCTACAAGCACAGACAGTTGTCCTGTTTAAACGTGTCTCATAGCTCACAATTTGATATTTTAAATGGCAACACAGGGAATGGATTGGGAGGATTTTTATTCACTATGCACCAATGCCCACTGGTATTGCAATGTATTCCTAGTGTATAAAGAGAACCAATCTAGAACTAAGGATAAATTTCTTGGCAGTCAGAACAATCAATCAGTGGAATGGTTTGCCTTTAGAAGTTGTGGGCGCTCAATTACTGGAGGTTTTTAAGAAGAGACTGGACAGCCATTTGTCTGAAATGGTATAGGGTTTCCTGCCTGAGCAAGGGGTTGGACTAGATGACCTCCAAGGTCCCTTCCAACTTTACTACTACTACTACTACTACTGCTACTACTACTACTATTACTATTATTCCATTGCATTGGAAGAAATAAAAATAAGTAATATGACTTACAAAATTGCTCATTGAATAATATATTAGATGGTTATATATTTGTGGCATTTTAGCCCTGCATTAATTCAGTATTCTTTAATTAATATAATAAAGTTCTGATAAATTACCAAATTTTCCCTTTCCTTAAAAAGCATATTTTATACTTTCCTAAGTATAATTATCAACCATAAGAACAACCCTACTTAACTAGTAGATGCATTTTAATGAATAAGGCATTTAATTTCTGTACTATTTTTGCTGAACAAATAAACAGAATTTCTGTGAATTTTATAACCATATTATTACTTGGCAAGTTGATTATAATACTAATGCTTCCTTTTAAATTCCCCCTGTTCTGGCTCTCCGGTAATTCAACTACATCTTGGAACCAACTACTAAAAATTCTACATTGCATTTTAGACTCTGTGTGGCAATACCTAATTTAGAAGCAAATTACGTACAGACTAATTAGCCTGTATCTTAAAATGCTATTAAGAACATTTTAACACTGCATTTGTTATCCCTGGCTGAAATGTCAAATTATACTTCCTAACACGTAAATTAAATTCACTTAAACTTACAGAGCTTTATTCAATGCTATTTTAGATGTTATATTCATTTTGCCCATTAAATTCTGGAAATTGCCTAGGAATTACAAATAATACAGATTAACAATCAATCATATTTAGCAACCTGTGTACTAAACAACTATTGTCCCTTGCACTTTATTTTACTGGGTTATAAGCTGTTCCACTCAGAGTAAACTTTAACATTATCTAAACTTTTTTTTCTCCAGAGGTTAAATCTCAGCCCAGAAATAGACATATTTGGATGGTATTCAAAATTGTGATATTTTCAGATGTAACAAACAATTAAAATAGGAATTTTAATAACTACACCTGTTATTCAACCATTAATTAAAAAAAAACTATACCTGTAATTACTACATTTTAATGAAAATTGACTTTTTGATTGATTGGAAGCAAGAGGCACAAAGATCCCTCATCTTGGCTACTGGCAGATATGATTCTCTGTCATAATAGATCATCAGTTATTTTCCAGATCACAACACTTAATTTGATGCAGGAAACTTTTATCTCCTGAGATTTGACACAGGGACACATTTCGCTCCTTAACGCCACCCCTCAATAGGAAAAAAAAAAAGGGATATAAAGGAGCATTTAGGTATTTTAAACTTCTACACCATTTTAAATTAACTGCTCTAATCAAAGAAAAGGCTACATCCAACTTTGTTTCTACTTGGAAAGCGTTATTGGACTATGTGCGTTGGATAGAAAAAAAACCAAAATTTTGATTTGGGGTTTTGCCAATTAGATGAGTTTATT